GTGCTCCAGCAGCTCCACTGCCTTTCTTGTCTGCCCGTTGGCCTGATATGCACCGGCAAGCGCGTGCTGCGATGCCAGCCGATCCGGGTGATGCTCGTCCAGCGTAGTCTCTTCGACCTTGACAACGTACTCTAGCAGCTCCACTGCCTCTCTTGTCTGCCCGTTGTCCCCGTATGCACCGGCAAGCTCGTGGTGCGATGCCAGCCGAGACGGGTGATGCTCGTCCAGCGTAGTGTTGCGGACCTTGACAACGTGCTCCAGCAGCTCAACCCAGTTCTTTCCTTCGTCTTCTCCTCAGCGCCATGGATCACGACCTTCCTGACCCAAGTGTATAACCAACGTGCGCCTAGTCCCTGTACGGCTACGATGCTTTCGCGCGATCAGCGGGGCGGCAGCGTCTGGCAGCGGCAGCAGCAGCAGCAACAGCGCTCAGCTGTGCATGCAGAATCACTGCGTGTGCTGCGCGGCTGCGCGTGCTGCACCTTGTTGCCTGTCCTGTCCATCTCAGTCACATGATGCATGCAGGTATGGACGCTACGCGTCGCCCGATTCTTACACAAGCGTGCCTCACCTGCAAGTCGGCGTCTCTCGCATCGTAATGTTATTGAACTTGCATTCAAACGCAGTGTCCATTGGTATGGCTCAATGAGATATCATAACGCTGAAACGAATCATAATGCATCTATTCTTCAGTGCGTCGTTGAAGGTCCCGTTGCCTCACTTTGACGTACCTCACTGTTTGTATCCAATTGTAAGTGAAAAGACACAGAAAGACTGCGAATACTGTCATCACGGCCGCCAAAGAAGCGACCATTGTGAACACAGTGAAACCATACGACGCTGCTTGGAAAGCCTCGTCATTCCCCAATGCTTTTGTCGCTAAGCCAACCTGCATGGCCGCCAGAACAATGACCATATATGCCAGCACAGATGCCAGCCAGGTGAAGTTGTCTCGGAAGAAGCTGCTGTACTGGCTGTACTCGGACTGATAGCCACGGAATACCGCACGTCCGGTAAGTCGATATATTGCGTTGAGTCGGTTTAGGCGCAGCTCGCCGTGGATGTAGCGCTGGTTGATGTGGTCGTAGATAGCGTCATGCTCCAGGATCTCTTTGATGAAAGTCTTCCATTGCATCCAAGATATCTGATCGGGGAGCAGATGGCTGTCCTTCGCAATGAAGAAGTCGCTTTCGTGAGATACAAGCGCTGCGTAGGACAGCAAGAACCCCAGAGCACACTTTCTGAGCTGAGCCTCTTCGCATCCAACATTGCGTCCAGGACTGTGAGGAGAAATCGGCGAACACTTGCACTGGTCTTTGCAACTCAAGTGGTCTACCCAAAACTGCGGTTCTAGAAGGAAACGAGGAAGAGGTTTGACGAAGATGCGGGCTTTGGACCAGACTAGGTGCATGTCCATCCGTTCGGTCACTATAACTTCGCGGCCCAGCAGTCTTTGATAATGCAATGCGCGTGGCGGCATCGGACGGCCAGCTATCCATAGCCAAGAGTGAATGACATTAAGCCGATCTACGCCTAACTCGTACCAGAGATATTCGGCACCAGAGTCGGGTACCTGCAGGATGCTGTCCTTTGTCCTGTGAGATGCTGAAAGAAGGTGCAAGCTTGTGTTGACGTTCACGTCCTGCGCTGCCTGCTTTGATGTTGGGGTTGGTATGTTGACTGTAGAAGGCTCCGCCGGGACTGGCTGCAGTAGTACTGATGCGAATGGAGCATGTTTGTATATATTCATAACAGGTCAAAGAAACAGAACATGTATAAAGGCATCGACGACGTGCTTTCAGCCTTCACGGAAGCACTTGGTGCGATAGTGCACGTGCTCCAATTAATGCACTAGCGAAGCTTGCCAGCGCTCGCCTGGACATGATAGCCGCCGCCGTCAGCGCTCCGCCGCCAGCGCTTCGCCACCCTCAATGCGAGCGCCAACGCCCACACCTGCATGCATCATGTGATTGAGATGACAGGACAGGCAACAAGGCGCAGCACGCGCAGCGGGCCCTGCTTGCCCGACTGAGTGCTACAGCCGCCGTCCCACAAAGTTCTGACAGGCTGCCGCGCCCACTTCACCTGGGCGATGGTCGCTGCGTCTGCAATTGAACATGAATACAGCGCACGACGACACCAACGCCAGCGGGCTCAGGTTCTGGTCTGGCGCGCCGACGTCTGATGCTCCCCATGACGTCGAGTAAGTGCGTGACGACCCAGAAGGCCCGGGTGCCGGCCCCGCTGACTGCGCGAAAGCATCGTAGCCGTGCAGGGACTAGGCGCACATTGGTTCTACACCTGGGTCAGGAAGGTCGTGGTTCAAGACACAAAGCAGAAGACGAAGGAAAGAAGTGGGTTGAGGAAGCTCAGCAGCAGCAGGCTGTTTGGGAGGAAGAGCAAAGCGCTAGGCAGCAATGGAGAATGCGAGACGAGGGAGGTGATGTGGCCGCGGGACCTCCTGGTGCCAGCGTTCAGCAACGCGCGGGTCGCCACGTACAGCTACGGATCAGACTGGAAAGATCGGCAGGTGAACACAAGCCTGCGGGAGTGTGGGCAGCAGCTGCTGGAGGTGCTGCTCCAGCATCGGCAGAGCGCGAGTGTATGTGGATGCGCACCTCGTCTCTCACACGAGCTAGACCGGCTCTAACCCTTTCTTTGTCTGACACCCACGACAGGAACGACAGAGGCCGCTCATCTTGATCGGCCACAGCCTTGGAGGCCTTGTCATTCAGCAGGTAGAGTACTACGGCGACGATGCGCAGGGAGGGCAATCTCTAACCGTAAGCAGGCGCTCACTATCGCTGTCCATGGACCTCGCTACACCGACTTTCGTCTCTCAGTCGCGGGTATCGTCTTTCTGGGCACCCCGTTCCAGGGCAGCGGGGAGGCAGCATACGCGCAATGGCTGGCGGAGCTCGTCCGGCTCCAGGAGGCCGAGGGCCACAGGTACACGCTGCTGAAGACGCTGCAGAAAGACAGCCCGGGTCTGCACGCCCTGTCGATCGACTTCTGGCGAAGCTATAGCGAGTATGACATGACGTGCTTCTACGAGAACAAGGAAGCCGACTACGGGCTTGTAAGCACACAGGTGTGTTGACTCAGCTGTCTTTCTGTGACCCCCGTCCGCTAAGCACAAGCAGATTGTGAGCACGCAGTCCGCTATGCTCGTCGGGCAGAAGCTGATGTACATGGACGCCGACCACTCTGGGCTGAACAAGTTCAGTGGCGTGGACGACAAGAACTTCATGCTGCTCCTGCCCGAGCTGCGCAAGATGGTCGAGAACAGTGGCTCTGTAGTAGCAGATCGGTACCGCAGCAAAGGTAAGCAGCTATGCAGGTGCTGTGTTTATCTTCACCAACAGCAGGCTGACAGTCTAGCTTCACAGACGCTAGGTCAGCCGGCAACGTGCACTGGATTGTGCCGCGCACAGTCAACAGCCTGTTCACTGGGCGCCGCGAGGTCATAGAGCGGATGCAGAGCGCCCTGCGCGACAACAATTCAAGTGCGTCAAAACAGAAGCGAGTAGTCATCACTGGCATAGGGGGCATGGGCAAGAGCGAGATGTGCCTCAAGGTTGCAGACCTGATGCGAGAAGAGTGCGTAAGCCCTGCAAGTTGTCGCTGTCGAGAGAGACGAGTGTTTGGCTGACGAGCAACAGCTTCTGGGGCGTGTTTTGGGTGGATGTGGGCAGCCAGTCGACCGCTAAGAACGACTTCCTGGCAGTTGCGAAGGCGCTCGGATCACCTGCGGAGAGCGTGGAGGAGGCGCTCCGAGCGCTCGCCAACACCAAGAAGCGCTGGCTGCTGGTCCTGGACAACGCCGACGAGGTTGACTTCGACTACGCACGATACATACCATCTGGGGTGCAGGGGGCGATCATTGTGACGTCGCGCAACCCGCAGTGCAGCCGGTACAGCACCGGGCCTGCAGAAGCGCTCGAGGGCTTGGACGCAGAGCACTCGACACAGCTTCTCCTCAAGGCTGCTCGAGTGCCGGAAGAGGCTTGGCGGTCGTGCAAGACGAAGGCGCAGGCGCAGGACGTTGTGCGTCTTCTGGGGTCGCACACGCTTGCGCTGATCCAGGCTGGCGCGTATGTAGCCGAAGGGTACTGTCAGATGGCCGAGTATCCCAAGAAGTATCAGCAGCATCGCAAGCGGCTGCTTGAGTACAATCTGACGCAAGAGCAGTCGCGGTATCGAGATGTGTACGCTACATTTGAGGCATCCGCGGATGCTCTCGAGCGTTCTAGCAATCAAGAGGGACAGGATGCATTGGATGTACTTTCGGTGCTATGTATGCTGCACTCGAGCGTGCTTCCGCTTGAAGTGTTCGAAGATGCATGGCGAGGGGCTCGCCGCGTGCTCGAAGAGTCGTCCGCTGAGATGGATGGGACAGAGAAATCGGACATGACAGATGACCTCGGGCGATGGCACGTTGCTCAGCTGCCTGAGTTCATAGATACAGCAGCGGACGAGCGGGACAGCTATCGCCTCAAGAAAGCCAGCGCCCGCCTTGTGTCGCTGTCGTTGGTGACGCGGCATGCGCTAGGCGACGGCATTGGGGGTTTGTCGATGCATCCGCTGGCGCACGCGTGGGCGAAGGACCGGCTGGAGAGGGAGCGGCAGCGGCAGGCATGGGCGACTGCGGGATGTGTGCTTGCATTGTCGCGAGGGCAGACAAAGCTGTGGCAGGTGCGCGAGAGGGAGCTGCGGCCGCATATGCAGTCCTTTTTATCGCCCAACGTACAGACGATGCTCTCGTGTAGACCGCAGGAGGCGGTGCTGGCCGTCCTGCTGAACTGCGGCTGGGCGCTGAATACGATGAGAGAGGACGCCAGGCTTGAGCAGCTGCTGGGCGGCATCTACCAGGCACTCGACATAACCCCGTCAGATCCGACAACGGAGCACGTGCCGATATGGGAGCTGGCGGCCAGGAACCTGGGGTACATGGGTCACGCAAGGGAGGCAGTGAAGCTGCTGGAGCATGTCGTGGAGGTGCAAGAGGCTACGCTGGACGAGCATCACCCAGATCGGCTGGCATCGCAGCACGAGCTTGCCGGTGCATACCGGGCCAATGGGTATATCAAAGATGCAGTGGAGCTGCTAGAGCACGTCGTCAAGGTCGAAGAGACTACGCTGGACGAGCATCACCCGGATCGGCTGGCATCGCAGCACGCGCTTGCCGGTGCATATGGGGACAACGGGCAGACGAGAGAGGCAGTGGAGCTGCTAGAGCACGTCGTCAAGGTCCGCAACACTACGCTGGACGAGCATCACCCGTCTCGGCTGGCATCGCACCACGAGCTTGCCGGTGCATACGGGGACAACGGGCAGACAAGAGAGGCAGTGGAGCTGCTGGAGCATGTTGTCAAGGTCAAAAGAGTCACTATGACCGAGACGCATCCACTCCGGCCAGCCTCGGACCTACCTGAAAGCTCGCACAAGCCGTCCAAAAAAATGTGTTAAGCGATAGATAGACAACAGGAGACCATGTACCGAGCGAGGCACTTCGACAACTGAGCTCATGGTGCTGCAGTGGTGACCTGGAGCCTTATGAAGCGATGGTTGATAGACGAGCGCCCCACTTTCAAGCTGTTTGGAAAAGACAGAAACGGGATGGCTGTATAATACCGAAGCGAGCATTACATACATATAGCTCATACCTCCCTTTCACACAGCTCACGCTGAGACTGCTGCGTGACTGGGGAAAGCTCGACCAAGCTGTCGACTAGCTCAGTGATGTCCTCAATCAGCCGTCGAAACTGCTTCTCCTGGTACAATGCCCACTTTGCCTTTTGACGTACCCCAGACCGGTTCTGGCGCTCGATAGCCAGCTGCCGCATCTTCTCGTGAAGCTTCGCCAGTGCCGGATCTAGGTTGGTCTGCAGATCGTACACTGCAAGGCTGTCGTCCTGAGGCTCTGTGCGATTCTTGTATCTGTTCGATACACCTTCGGCTTCCGCGAACAGTTCTAGGATCTGGTCAAGCAAGGCTTCAGCAGGCCAGAACATGTCAGCAGCTCAGCCTTGCCAGCCAGCCTCATGCACAAGAAGCAGCTGCTGTCTGATCCCACGCGAGGCTCTCCACACTGCACAGTCCAGTCGCTGGCCAGCATCATGGTCTTCTCCAGCATCGCCACCACGTTCGCAGGCCCCGGAAACCAAGGGCTGCAGGTTGGGTACAACTCTGGCTCTATCCACATCGCTGCCGCCGGCAAGTGCTCGCCCCCGCTCCGACCAACGCTGCGCTGACCACGCTGTGTCTCTGCAGAGCGCCCTGAGACCCCACCACGGCCCTCGTGCTTCGTGCCGTTCCGACGCGACCCAGATTTTGTTGACCGCGCAACACTGCTCGACCAGATACGCGAGCAGTGCTCTGCGCCGGCATCGCGAGTCGCGCTGGTGGGCCTTGGCGGTGTGGGGTGAGTTCAGCTAAGGGAACCTCTGGTTAGCGCTCACGGCTAATGCACACAGGAAGTCGCAGCTAGCCATCGAGCACTGCTACCGCACTTCCGAGCGCTTGCCGGAGACGTGGGTGCTTTGGGCGCACGCTAGCAACACAGCGCGACTGGAGCAGAGCTACCGGGAAATAGCAGAGCTGGTCAAGGTTCGTGGTCGCAAGAATCCGCAAGCGGACGTGTACAAGCTGGTGCACGACTGGCTCCGCGACGAGAAGAATGGGCCGTGGCTGTTGGTGCTCGACAACGCAGACGATGCTGTCGTACTTTCTCCGAAAACAAGCAACGGCCACAGGTCGCAGGCAGACGATGGCAGCGACAGTAGCGACGGCAACAGCAGCGCTCTCCGGCAGCAGCTGTCGAGGTATCTGCCTCCGAGCAGGCACGGCTCGGTGCTGGTGACGAGCCGGACAAGGCGCGCGGCAATGCAGGTCGTCGAAGACAGCGACATCATACCGATCGAGCCAATGGACAACGCAGCTGCACACACTCTGCTTCACAAGAAGCTGGGAGACAAGGGCGACAAGGCGGGCAAAGATGACGGCATTGCTGAGCTAGCGGCGGCGCTGGACTACATGCCGCTCGCTCTCGTGCAGGCAGCGGCATACATTCGAGAACGACGGCCGAGATGCTTGGTGCGGCAGTATCTCAAGGAGTACTGCCAGAGCGACAGCAGAAAGATAAGCCTGCTTAGCCAGGGAGCTAGCCATCTGCGCCGAGATGAAGCAGCCAGCAACGCCATCCTCATAACGTGGCAGATCTCGTTCGATCACGTACGACGCACTAGACCATCGGCGGCGGACCTGCTGTCACTAATGAGCTTTTTCGACCGGCAGGGAATACCTGAAGCCCTGCTTCGTAGCCAGGGCAGCAGCACGGAGAACGAACAAGTACTGGCTGTTGGCGTAGACGACGGGTTTGAGGATGATGTCCTTACGCTGCGAGACTACTCGTTTGTCACAGCTACTACAGACGAGACGACGTTTGAGATGCACGGCCTGGTGCAGTTGGCGACGCGTAAGTGGCTGGAAAGCCAGGAACAGCTCGACAAGTGGAGAGAGCAGTTCATCTCCAACCTGTGCGCAGAGCTGCCTACAGGACGACACGAGAACTGGGAAAAGTGTCAAGCGTTGTTCCCGCACGCGAGGGCGGCAATGGCACAGCGGCCCGCGAGCCAGAAGTCGCTTGAGGAGTGGGCGCTGTTGCTGTACAAGGCTGCATGGTACGCATGGCAGAGAGGAAGAGCAGGCGAGGCAGAGAACATGTCAGTGACATCGATGGAGGTGAGGAGGAAGGTGCTCGGTGAAGAGAGTGAAGAGACGCTGAGCAGCATGGGCATGGTGGGACTAGCAAGGAGCTTTGGGGGCAAGTACAAAGAGGCGGAAGCGATGCATAGGAAGATGCTGGCGACAAGTGAGAAGGTGCTGGGGCATGAGCATCCCGCCACGCTGACGAGCATGAACAACTTGGCGGGAGTGCTGAACAGACAGGGCAAGTACGAAGAGGCGGAAGCGATGCACAGGCAGATGCTGGCGACAAGCGAGAAGGTGCTGGGGCATGAGCATCCAGACACGCTGGGGAGCATGAACAACCTGGCGGGAGTGCTGAACAGGCAGGGCAAGCACGAAGAGGCGGAAGCGATGCACAGACAGACGCTGGCGACAAGCGAGAAGGTGCTGGGGCATGAGCATCC